TTTATACTAATCGTTACAATTATCCGTGTCTTATTTTTATGGAAAGAGGAACATTATTCAAATAATTAAATAAATTAAAATATTACTGTAATAATTTAATTTTTTTAGTAAAAAATTAAAAGAAAAAAATTTTAATTACTAATTAAATCAACACCATCATTTTTTTATTGTTATTTTTTAGAGCAGTTATGTTTTCTTTAATTTTTTTTAAGTTGCGTTGTTAAATGTATCTAGTTTCTGTTTTACTTTGCCGAAAGAAAATTAACGTGGATTCAGAAAGTGGGGTGAGAAAACCAATGCTCGGAAAACAAGCTAAAATGATTTAAAGTTGTTATCATAAACAGGCTATTGTACGACGAAATGATCAGTTATATAATTGCAATTTTGATTTTTTTTTCGTGTTTCTTGGACTCAATAAAGTTTGCAGCATCTGTGAACCTTAAAATTCGGCTAGGCAATTATTTCCGAAAATTTAGATACCAAACTACAAATTTCCAATTTTTCCAACTTAAATTTTCAGAAAGCGTAATTTTTTCAAAGCAGATTAGGATTTCTGTATTCAAAAAATTATTTTGGCTATTTAAAACTCTAAAATTAAGACAAACAGCAACAAACTGAGAGGCCGCATTTGGAAATAAATACTAGCTGATTTCAATACAAGCGAAATCATGATCCCAGTCTTGTTCAGTGTGTTGCCGTGCACATTGATTTTAGAGTTTTCAGTGGAAAAAATAATATTTTGGAAAAAGAAATTCTAATCCGTTTTGACAAATTTAAGAATTTTTGTACTAAAAGTTGCAATCTAGACATTTTTACTTGTTGTCCCCTTGAATTGGTTTTATTTTCAGGTTCTGAATCCACGTTAAATTTCTTTTGGGTCGTCATCATTATTGTTTTAAGAAGAATTTTATAATTTTCCTGCCCCTTCTAAGCGTATTGATCAGTTTGTCCTTTATTTATTTCCTTGAATTCAGCCTGGCAATTTATTTTTTAATGCAAATTGAGCCTGAACTAGATAAAGTCCGTCGGTCCATTAGCGTCTGGCGCACAATCAGTTGTCTCGCTAAAAGGACGAAGAGCACAAATCGAGCGTCAAATGCAAAGTGCATGTCCTTGTGCGAGGCCAGCCCAGTTGGCACACATTGTATACGCAAATCGCTGGGGACGCCCGCAAACGGTAAAGAGCATTAATTAATGGTTTAAACAAAAGCTCGCCCGCCAAAACACACAGGACAGCAACAAAACTTGGCTATTATCATTCCATTAAATATTAATTAAGTGCGCCGTGTGTGTGAGTTGGTCTGCTTGTGGGATTGACGAGTGCACCGAACGACGAAACTTTTAACCGAGGAATGACGTCGACGCGCGCCAAATTTCAGCGATTCAAGTGGATTTGATTAAGCGTAATTGCGTCAGTAGTTGCAAATTGCCTTCGATCCGTGCATGAATTTGATGTGAGAGTCATGATGACGCCCTCGCATACTAATAATGGTGATTGTCGGATCTGAATTTTTAGATGTTGCTCTCACACCACGCGTCTGCAAAATAAAATTTCAAAAAAAGAGAAGAAGAAGTAAGTAAAAAAATGAAAAATGAGCCTATTTTCCTAACAAAAATATCTTAAATAATTGAATTCTATTTTTAAACTATTTTAAATTAAAATTTATAAACGTCTTCTTAAAATGAGAATCTGACCCTGACGTTAATTATCTGTAATTTTAAGTCATTAATTTGATACTTCCTGTAATGAAAGATTCAATGATGATCGATTTTTAAAAATATTTCTTACCATTATATTTATTATATAAAATTAAATTTGTGCGCTTAAGAAATAATTTCCTCTTCTACTGATTTTTACTGAAAAAAAATAATAAATTAATTATTTTCTTCTAAAATGATGTTATTTAAAATTCCATCAAAAACTGTTGATCACTAATTTATCAATGGAATAAATTAATTAATAAAAAAAAATTCCAAGCACATAAGTTCATTTTCAGTCCCGAGACGAAGTAGATTTTCATGACCCGGCGAATTGGAGCGCGAGGCGATTTTGGTCCGACGGCAATTACCATGCATGAAGACTACGGTGGCATCACGGAATAATGAATCTTTTTTATCTGCACATCAGTGGTGTAAAGCATTTTAAAGGACTAGTTGTTGCGGCGCTCAAAAGAGATGGCGGCGCCTGATAGAGTAGCGCGGCGATACGGGGGATGCTCAATTCCATCTCTGTGTGGCGGCGTCGGTGCCACACTGCGGCGGTAACGTGGTTGCAAACAATAGATCTCGCGGAAAAATCGCGTCGTCACAAGTTTATTGTTTGTTATTGCCTGCTGCTGATAACAACCGACTCGCATGCACCGTTTTTGTTCCGCAATCAGCGTCGAGAGTCAAGTACAGTCGAGCTCATTATAGAGCGAATACGTCGCCGCGTGCATGCCCATAACACAATTGTTCAGCCAACATACCTACATATTATATTATCCTCATGATCCGATCGATAGATCCACCCTTCGCCGCAAAAGAGCACACACGGCATAATGACTTGATTACATGCCTTTTCAAAGAGGCCAATTTCCTTTCTATTGAGTTACATTGTAATTATTGCATATCTTTAGCCAATCACAACAATTCACCTGGATTGATAAATTCCAAAGTAATTTAATTCTGTTTTTAATTACAATATTTACTTTTTTTATGCATTTTACTTCATAAATATTATACAAATGTAATTCGAACCAAATTATGTAATAAATACTAATTTTTTTCTGTATGAAATTTTTTTTATATTATTCTACTCGCATGAGTTTCAAGAGATAATTATGACAAATTACGGTATATTTTCATTGTAAAACATTATTTATTTTAAACTTAAATGTTTCACATCTGGGACTATTTTGATGTACAAAAATGTATTTTTATTCACTGGTTGTGATTAATGCAAAAATATAGCAAAATGTTATATAAATTTCCTTATTTCCACGTAAACTACATGAATTTATGATTATTTAATATTTTAAAAAATTCGATAACTAGAAATTTTGAATTAATTTTTAAATAGTACAAAATATCAATTTTTGTCAATAAATTTTTTTTTTTTCAAATATATCGATCTAATTAAAAATTTAATGTAAAAAGCTATCTCAATCAGATGGCTCAATAAATTGCTTCAATATAATTTAAGTATTGTAATTTATGCGGTTGTTTTACAAGTACATATAATTAAATATTATAATTTTTTTTGGAAAATCTTACTCGTTTTTGTGCCAACCGATAAAGTAAACTGTAAAAAAGATGCACAAATCTTCAAAAACAATTTTTTTTTCTTTGTATATTTTATAGTAAATGACAGCTTCTTGCTTGAAATCCAGTTTACATCAGTCAAGATTTTTTGAAGTGTAACAAGCTTCGGCAGTCGTCGTGTCTTTATAGTCTTTGCCCTTTTCGCTGTGAACCAACCATTTCTGATTTCAAACGGGGCCGAGTATGGCCTCGCCGTCGCCAAAGGCAAACGAAATAAAAGAAGCCCGTGAAGATCGCGCTCGGCAGGCGCAACACACCCAAGAAATAATATAATTACAATCAAAACTGGTTCTCCATCCAGCTCATTTGGCTGCGAAATCAATCGAATTGATTTCATAACAATAATTTTTTTGAGCCTCGCGGCATTTGAGGTGTTTCGCTGCGAACCCAATTGGATTTCACTGCCAGCAAGCAATATTTCACGCTCGATTTGACCACCCGAGCAATTAACATGTGCTAATTTATTCGACACGTCGCTATCCGTCATCAGCATGTATGTGCAGTCGTTGCCTGGCTGACACACTAACTCCATTTGCCCGCCCGTCACCCCCGACTGAATCATCCCTCGCTGACGAGCCAGAACAACTAACTGCCCACGCCTGTCCGCCCACCCCGGACTAAAAACAAAAGCGCTCATAAATGTCAGCAGTCGGTTAGTTCATTTTCTGCGTTTTGCTTTCGTGGAAAATCCGACGCTATAAATTTCGTCCGGAGAAAAATGAGTATTTTTTTTATACATTCGGGGAAATAAAATATATAATGAAATCCGTTTCGCTGGCGAAGCACAAATCTCCTGCACTTTTAAGTTGCGAAATGAATTTTGCCACGCCGCCCAAACGGTTTTAGCCACAAATAATTTATCTTGTGCGTCATTGCGCTTATTCAAGTGAGCCGGGCTTAAATTAGAGGCTTTGTCCAACGAGCACAGCGAACGAGTGCAACACAAACGCGCCTTTGTTCGTCCAACCGCAAAACAATGTTGATTAATTTTAAACAGTTGGACAGTTTAATTGCTCAGGTGAATTATGTGAATATCATAAAGTTGAATTGCCCTAAATATAAATATTAATGATTGATTTTGAAACGAAGAAAATGTGTTTATATAGTGAAAAATTATAATCCCGAGTAAAGATATTCAAGGTTTTGTGGAAATTCAAACATAAATATGGAAATTTCAAAAACTTATTTTATTATATAAAAAATATAACATTAAAATGGCTAAAATATTTAATGAATTTAAATTAGCATTTTTAATTTCCTATTTTATAAATTCACGTGCTCCATAAATAAATTTAAAAAGTTCTAAAATTAAAACTTGGGCAAATTTTTTTATGTTTGCCAGTTTTTACCAGAAAAATTTCAAGCTGAAATATAAAAAATTACAAATTTCAAAAATGGTTAAAAATAAAATAAAAAATTTCACCTTTTTCATTTAACAGATGCATATTTCAAAGTTTCGGAAAGTTTCAAAGTTTTTTACATAAAAATTGTTGCAAAAGGTGCAGATTAAATTAAAAATATTTACCCTTGAGTGTCATTGAGAGTTTCTTTTAACATGGATTAACCATTAGCATTTATACAAAATTAAAGAATCCAGTTATAAATTAATAACAAAAATTTCAAAATCTAAGATTTATCCATTTATCCGAATTTATCACCCTAGATCTATTCTAATTTTTTGTTAATTCTGTTTACAGATCGGAGTTTTCTGGTGGCGAACGCTCAGCAGGAACAATGCCACATAATCTACTGCAGCGACGGCTTCAGCCGCCTCTCGGGCTTCAGCAGGGCGGAGGTGATGCAGCGGGCGGCGGTGTGCGACTTCCTGCACGGCACGCTGACCTCCCAGCACGCGGTCACGCATGTCAGGGAGGCGCTCGCCGCCGGCGTCGAAAAGCACTTTGAGATTCTCTACTACAAGAAAGACGGTAAGAACAGAGGAAAAATTAAAATATCCTAACCGTATAAAATATTTATTTCAATTTAAATTATGAAACTGAAGAAAAACCGGAATATAATCAGATCATCAGATTATTTAAAATGAATTGAATTGAAATATATTTAAATACATAAAATACAATGGAAGTGAAGAAAGCGGGCTTTGTCCTCGTTGAAACTGTTGTTTTTTGTTTCAATTAACAAACAAAACGGCTTTCACGAGCCAGAACGAATTAAAAAAAAAGTATTTTAACAGAATATTTTGCATTTGAATATTTTTTGAATTTTTTTTATTTAATTAATTTAAGGTGTTTTTTTTTTTTTTTTCAATTTTCATAGTTTTTTATTTTTTTATTTTTCGTTGCTTATGAAATAGAGTCGCAGACTGTGTCCGAAACTGGTATAGAGCCATCTTGGTTTTTAAATCATTTTTCAATGAGGACAGAGCCCCATTTTCTTCATCTCCTTAAGTTCATAATTCATTAAACAAAAATTAAATATGAATAATATGATTATTTCAAATAAAAAAATTTATAAGTGTGTAGTAATTAAGTCAAGTTTGATATTAAAAGAGAAATGAAAAAAAAATTGACAAAGAGCAACCAACTTAAATTGAAAATTTTCCACTTGCGGATAAAAAGTTCACCGACCGTTAACACAATATAGCGTAAGAGAAAAATGATGTTTCAATATGCTCGAGGAGCTGCAAATAGAGAAGTGATTGAGTAAAAAGCCACACGTCGAATCGTCTCGGCGTGCCGTGGGACATTGTGGGTTGGCGGCGGTCAATGTGTCAAGATGCAAAGCAAATCCCCGGAGATCCAGAAGGGACACACGACCTCAATCTTTCCAACTGATATCTCGTTATATTGGTGTCGTGGTGTACATTAAAAAGATCTCGACTGTGCCGCGTCACAAAAAGCGAGGGGATCTGCGCCGGCGGACGACAAGATTGCGTTGCGCCTTTTTTGTTATCGCCAAAAGAGAAACTATTGCACAAAAACGCATCTCAAAGCGGTGTTCAGAAAAAAAAACACTTGTCGATCAGACAATGCGCGCGTTCACAATTCATTGGGCTGGCACGCGGCGACGGAAACTCTACAACATCAAGAACACTTGGTTGCGTAATTATTGGCTTCCAGGCCGGTAAAATCGATATGCGCTTTTAAATGACGCATGTAAAGTTCCGAAAATGTTTGGTTTATGAAATCATTAGATTATATTTTGCAATTTATTGCTATAAAAATATCTGAAAAAGTTACATAAACTCCTTTTAAATATTGATGAGGTTTTTTTATCTTATTATTTATTTTTAATATTTTTTACACAAAGAGCAAAATAAAAAGGATGTTATTAAGGAAACAAATTTTCATTGCTTGATAAAAATGTGAGGATAAGATGTAAAAAAATTGTTTTTCCTTGTTGTAAACATTGTTTCTTTATTAAAAAAATAAAAACAGGAATTGGTCACGATCTGCAACCCTATTTCATGAGCAAGAAAAATTGCTAATAACTTAAAAAAAAAAATTAATTAACCATTATAAAATAAATCAGATTTTTCAAAAACATTTTTTTAATCGTCTTTTTTTCTTTCAATGTTGCTTTTTTCTTGCTCAAGAAATAGGGTTGCAGACCGTGACCGATTTTTTTTTTAATTTTTTTTCCAATAAAAACAATTTTTACATACAAGGAAAAGACCGTCAACTTCCTCAACAAACAGCCAAGAATAAAATAAATCATATGAATGCAAATTTCCAACGCATTCATGGATAAAAGCGTTTAAAAAAAAATAAATCTTTGCAGCATCAACCAATCTCATTTGCGTTAAAGTTATGAAAATTATCTAGTAAAGTGGAAAAAAATTCAAAGAAATTTTCTATATATTTTTAATATTCGTAGAAATTTAATAAATCAATATGGCATAAAAATTTATAAACTTGCACTCGGGTTTTGACATAAAATTTAACGCAAATAAAAATTATAACAGTTAAATTATATTAAAAAAGTTTTAAATTAACTATTTTGTTTTCACTTTAATTAATGTACTGCTAATTATTCCTGTTGACGCACCTTGCCAACTCAACAGTTAATTATTCTTTTGCATTAAAATCAGCCTTTCGTTTACATATCAACAATATTTTACATGCGTCAATAATTTAATGAATTCAGCATACATTTGTTTATTTCTCCTGCAATCAAATTGAATAGTACCATTTGCATTAATGACCGTTGCTGATTGCCTGGTGGCCGAGTGAATTCACTGAATATTGTTTTAGATAGAGGTGCGCGTCATTTTTGCACTTGACGCGGGAAACACGCAGGTGCACAATTAATACAACTGGGGCCATTGGCGACGCGTGTCCGCGTCACGCCCAAAAGAAAAACTGATCAAAGCGAATGGCAGGGTAATTAGCACAGCTCAGTTTGTGACGCACATGCGGCCAGGGGATTTCGTCCAAATGTGGAAATTTTGATGAAATGAATTTCCAAATTAAAATCGATTCATGTAAAAACAAAATTTTATTTTTTGGTCCAACGAGTCGTTTTTCCTCCTCTTTTTTTTATCCTGCAGCTTAATTATGTTGGCCCGGGTAAATTTATATTATATTTCCTGGAAATAAAGCAGCTCTTAATTTTTTTCGGCCCCTCGACAACCGTCGGGCACATAAACAAAGAAAGAGCGCCCGCTAGGTTTTTTTTTTATTGCCGAGGCTCAAGTAGCGCGCGGCAGTTTTATTAGAGTCGCGCGCTCACTGCAAAAAGTGACCTACTTGCCGCGCACATAATACAATTTTTAAAGCCTCGGCTAATTAAAGGTATAACTCCATTATATTACGCCGCGGCACGACTTTTGAAGCGCAGAGATAGTGTTGTAAAGCTTTCTTTCGCTCGCGGGGTGCGTCTAATGATAACAAGCACCGGCTCGGGTGAAACGCCCCGTGTACTTGTCCACAAGGGAAATGTTTTCGCCCTTGTGATGAGGAAAGTTACATCATTATTATGAAAGTACAAAGAAATGAAAATGTTCAAACGTTGTGCAAAAAAATTTGAATGCAAATGCTCGGAACTAATTAAAATGTTGAGATTTGCAATACGAAACTTTTTCCTCATTAAGGAAGTCCACGTTTTTCAGAAAAATATGATATTTGGAAAGGATAGTTCAACGATAACAAAATATTTACATTCTCCAATTTGAATGAAAAAAAAATTTGATTAGAAAAGAAAGTTTATTGTTAAATTTTTTAAATAGAGCGGTTTTTGTACAACTTTGAAGCAACAAAATTTGTAATTTCTATATCTGAATATTGAGGTACATTCTGTGCTACTTAATTAAAAAATTCTCAAACTCAAAAGCAAATCCTCCCTGAAGGAATGACATGAATTCTAGGATCTGATGTTTGCATTTCCTTCTTTTCTGAACATCTCTTAAATGCATTAATGTGTCACATTCTCCTTAAAATCTGTTTCTAGACTCATTGTTTTCCAAGTAATAGATTATTATTATTCGTTAAATAATGATAATTTTCTCGAAAGCTTTGTAGCTTAAAGTAGATAATTAAAAATAAATCGGTGGACCATGTAGACAATCAATATAATTTAAAACTAATTCAATAAAATTTGTTCAGTGAATGAACAAAATATATATAAAAAACTATCGAAGGCAATTTCAAACTTTCCAAAAATATCAGGAAAAAAATTAAACAGTACAAGATGTTTGGTAAAATAAAGACGGTTAAAAATTTGAATGAGTTATTTAATTATGATTATATTTCTAAATATTAGATAAAGTATAAAAATAAATTTATAATTTCAATAATATAATTTTAAAATTTAATTATTGTTGTTTATTTGTCCACATTGTTACTAATACATTGTTTACATTCAATTTTTGAAAACAATTGTGTAAGAAAAAGAGATTGTTGGACAAAAAAGCATAAAACCACTAGCAAAAATCTCGCCAAAAATTCCGAGATCAAAAAGACCCCATCCGCCGCAATGAGCCTCGGTTGACTGAGTTTTTGTTCTTATCACTTATCACAAATTCTGCCACAGATAGGCCTTGCAGAGAGTGGGAAACTGTTCCACTGGGCAGGTTTTCAGAACGTCAGGAAGGTCATTCTATGGCCCGACGCCCCTAAAGAAGAAAGCGTCCCTGGCAAACTCACTCTGCAATTTTTTTATAACCATTTGAAATAGAATTTCAACGGAATTGACTACAAGATATTAAAACTTTTAAATTTGGAATTCTAGTTTAAAGTGACTTTGATTTAAATAGTGGCATATTTTTTTTAAATTAAAATAAAATAATTTCTTTATTTCCTGAAAAATTATTCAATAATGTATGAGCGAGCTGACCTTTTCCTGCAGCAACTGCTGAAGAAGCAAGCAATTATTTTGAACGCGCCAAAATTGAATCTGTTAAACAGTTTACAGTTGGATGAATCGGAACAAAGGTTCATTGAGAGAGTCGGTTGCGTGAGCCCAGGCTCAAACGTCACTGCGGCTCAACATAGACATTTTTGGTGGCGCCGAAGGAGCAAATGCAAAGCAGCAGGCCATGTGTTCAGTTTCGCGGGCGGGCTAATGCGCGGCCGGTTTCTTGCTCTGCACTCGTTAATAGGAGCAATAAATAAAGATTAGGACTGACAGTCAATTATCAACTCGGCCGGCACGGAGAACAAGGGGATGTGTGGAATACGGAGAAATAGACACGGCACCGAGCCAAATTGCCGGGCCTCTTTGGGAGACGCGACAAGCACACGTTAATTACGTACCTCTTGGCGCCGTAATTGCCTCCTACTTATCTGCCTAATGATATTTAAAAAGCCTTCATCTCTCTTAATCACCTCTTCTGAAACGACGAACCATCTCCTTTAAGTGCAAGAGCTACAAAGACGGTCGCATACAAAGGTGTATACTTTTTCTCCTGCACCCTCCGTTCCGCTGAAACAATGCAAAGAAAGAAAAAGCGGCTCAAAATGCCGCCGCC